AGACACGCTTGGGACTCTGCATCAATATCTAGTTGGGCTTTTGTGTTCAAATGCTTTTAGCCCTGAATTCTGTCATCTGTGACCTCATTTCTGGAGACCCTCCCGTATTCTTTAAGTGAGATTACAAACTCTCCAGGTTCGGAGACTGCTTGTTCCCAGGGCGGAGTTTTAAAAGGCAAATAAGGAATTTTTCATGTGTAGGTCTTCTCTCTTTTGTTTCAGCTACCCTGGATATTTCTGATCATAAATTTTGTTATGTTAATACAGCAGTAAATTTAATCTTATTTCCACACGCATCTATCCCACAGAAATGGGGGGCTGCTGGACTGTTGTTGATGCACACCAATACTGTTTTTCCTAGTTGGTTAAAATTTTGAGTGTTTTTTTTTTTTAAAATGAGGAGCAGGCAGCATAATTGCCCAGAAACAGCAAAATAATCATCATTGCAGTTGAAATTGGTAATATTATTTTTAGTATAAGGAGTATTCAGATCATCAGTTAACAACTGCAAGAATAATGCTCTTTGCTTTTATTGCAGGCTAAGTTGTTTTTGAGAGAGTAATGATGGGAAAATGTAAACTTGCATTGTAGCTAACCACTTAAAAGTAATTTTCCGTATGTGAACAAACAGTGTTTGGCAAGTGGAAAGACATATATTGACTGTTCTGAAACAGAATTTTGTCTCAATTCCAACGTATCTGTCTGGGCCTAAACTGTCCCATATGTGAGGGTTTTATCCACGTCTGCTTTTCCCATGGCTTAAGGGTGAACTCAGCGCCAAGTTTCGTCTCAGGAGCTCTGGGTCCAGCTTGTGTGGTTTTAACTTTCTTGCATTCCAAGTCCCAAGGACTTGTGATCACGAGACCTCCCAGAATTTCCACCAGGCCCCTAGAACCGGCATCTGAAGAAACAATCTATTTCTTGCTGAAGTCAGATTGCCTGCGTGCATGACAATTATTTATTCATGTTGTTTCTGTGCATCTGGAAATGTTACGCAGTGGCATTTGATGTATTGCAGACTGTAAATGTGTGTATTTCCAAAGATGTGAGATGTACTGACCTCGCTCAACCGTATTTGCCCCATGCTTTTCCCACCTGCAGGTGCAGGGGATGTCCTTCATTGCTGCTGTGCTCATTCTCAACCTGGAGGAGGCCGACGCGTTCATTGCCTTTGCCAACCTCCTGAACAAGCCATGCCAGCTGGCCTTCTTCCGCGTGGACCACAGCATGGTACGCACAGACCCCTCTGCCTCTGAACCATAACGTGCCTTTGACGTGGAGCATCACTGAGTTACCAATCGCTGCCTTTTGTCCTGTTGAATAATTGAGAACTTGAACCTTTGGTTACAAAATAGAGAATACCAGATTTTAATCCCTAGAACACACACTACTGTTGTGATTTTTCTTCTCAAAGCACTTAATAGTTGCGCTTACCCTAAGAGGCCCCTCTGTGCTCTGTTGGCATCCTTAGTTCTTGGTGGGGTCTGTGTTATTTTACAACTAAATGTTCTTTTGATGACTGCTTACAAGGTGCTCTGCTCTCTCTACAGATGCTGAAATACTTTGCAGCCTTTGAAGTATTCTTTGAAGAAAATCTTCCCAAATTGTTTCTTCATTTCAAGTCATACAGTCTTACTCCAGACATATATTTGATAGACTGGTGAGTTCAGAGTGCATAGCAAACCAAACCTTACGACTGCTGCAGCACTTCCCATTTTGCTATAGGTTTTCAGCTCCTGAAGGAAGAATGACTGTAGGAATATAGACTTTAAAGCAGGAGAAGGATGAAATTTAGGACTTGGTTTGGAAAGGGATAACTCGGAAATGAACATTTTGGAGTAATGGATGTTCTTCTTGGGGGATAAGATGCAGCTTGTTGGTGAGCAGAAGTCTCAGCAGGAGCTGGTTATACCATTGCAACAGATATAATGGGGAAATAGAGAACACTTCTGTCACAGGAACCACTGAAAATTCAGGGGAGGGGTGTGCAGTAGGCAGCAGACTGAACTCTCTGCTCATCTACAGTGAATGCTTTTGAAAAATAAACTTTGCAGTAAGAAAAGGAGTCAGACTCTTCCCAGAAAGAATACAACAGCAGCTGCCTGTAGATTTCAGTTTTAAATTTGGATAGAAGTTCATATTATGTTGTGGAAATGTAGTTTCTGAATTCTTTTCAGTACATTAGTGGGATGTAGCCTTCTGTGAGGTGATTTGTGGCTTTAGAGTAGAAAACAGATGATGAACAGAGCTGTTAAACTACGTGGCTTAAATAGGGTAGGGCTGATTTAGACAGTTATGATCTCTGTTGCTGAAGTTCTTATTTGTATGTTATACCCTGTTTGAGTGTAAAGGTGTAACTTCTTTACCCAGAGCTTCCTAAAGGGGGTGGCTTTCAGATGCAGCATTTCCTGAAGGCTAAAAAGGGATGGGTTTCAGAGTAGAGACTGGAGACTTGTGGATCTTTGAAATATGGAAAAAAAACCCCAGTATATGAAGTAACTTGTCACCTGCTCGCCCTCAGCAAACATAACTAAGATTTAAAGGAGGCTGTATTTTCATCTTTCTGAAATAGGTTAAAGTTATAACTCTGCCTTTTTTCCTCAATTGTAGGATTTTTACACTCTACAGCAAGTCATTACCACTTGACCTGGCCTGTCGTGTCTGGGACGTTTTCTGTAGAGATGGAGAAGAATTTTTGTTTAGGACAGGATTAGGAATCCTTCGGTTATATGAAGATATTCTCCTACAGATGGACTTTATTCATATAGCACAGTTTCTAACAAAACTTCCCGAAGACATTACATCAGAGAAGCTTTTTAGTTGTATTGCAGCTATTCAGATGCAGAATAGTAACAAAAAATGGGCACAGGTGAGTTTGTGGGATATATCTGTGTCTCAGAGGGAGATGTCAGCACAGCAGTACACGGGGCACTTCTCTCAACGACTGCTTTGTGCTGCACGTCTGACTTATGGGCACTTCCTTTCTACTGGCTCGCTCTAGAAATTAATCTCCATGCTAATGTTGTGGTGGTTAATACTGATTATTATTTTTTTTAATAAGACTGGCTTTTTTTTAATATACATTAAATAATTCACTTTTCCAGGTGTTTGCATCGCTGATGAAGGACAACAAAGAAGGGGACAAGAACCACAGCCCAGCGCTGAAAAGCTAAGGCGAGTCGTGACGCTGAGGTCAGCTGAGAACGTGGAAAACCACTTGATGACAAAGGAGTTTTCGCATCACTTCTATGGGGAAAAAGCACTATAGAAAATGTGAAAATGAGACGGGGAAAATGAAACAGCTCTCAGTGGAGTAATGAACTGATACAATCTTCACCCTTTTGCCAGTATTAGCTTTTGTCGTGGGAAGATTTGTTTTCACACAGAATACTAAAACCTATGAAACTGAGAAGCGGGGGAGTTCATATTTAATACTTTAAAAGAATCAGCTCAATGCAATAAACATTTGTAATAACTTCTGTTGGTACTTTAAAAAAAAAAATTTTGAGGCATAACTTTTTTTACAAATACCACAAAGGCACTTTTTTGGGGGGGATGAGGGAAATGCTAAATCTTAAGGCCCCAAAACTGCTATCCAAACCAAATGCTTTGGTACAAATGTTACCTCCAAAATTAACCATTAGAAAGTATTGAGGACCAAATGAGGTTGGTTGGTATGTTTATGTGCAAGATGGTTAAAATTTGGGAAGGGGTATTGTCTTATTTACTTGTTTTTTGTTTTGTTGTTTTTTTTCTTTTAAGTTGCAGCTTCATTCTTCAGTCTGGGCAAATGTAATTAACTCAGGAACTGTGGAAGTATCGTGCCCAAACCCGTTAGAGCAAATATCACCTGAATATTAAAGAGTGGTAAGATCAGGGCTATTATTTTCTGAGCGTGCAGCTTTCAAAGTGAGTGGTGTTAAGTGTTTGTGTTGGTGTTATGGGTTGTGCAGCCAGTTAAAAATGGAGCGGGTATTCTGTGAAAGGGTTTTGCCACCAGAAGTTTTATTTTGAGCCATTTCCAGCTAAGAAATACTTGTGATTTAATGGTGAACACTAGGAACTGACAAAGCTATCGGCAGACTTTGTGTTGTCAAAGGAGCAGCCACTTTTAACACTTACGAGTAACGCAGGCACAGAATTGTTTTTTGAAACTCTTTTATTAGTGTGCAATACTGAAATCCCAAAACCACCTGGTTTAGTGATACTTAATTCTTTAACAGCTTCTAACTGTGGGACATAAGGTCATATTATATGTGTCACGGCAGATATTTTCAAACATTTCCTATTCTCAAAGACGCTGTACAACAATTTGTGATTGTAGGGGATGGAAATTTAAAATGGATAGCTCTGCAGGTGAGGAACACTTGCACTCTCTTGGTCCATTTTTTTGCTAATATTTAATGTAAATAAATTCCTTACATGTGGGTTTTTGTAACTGGTCCCTCTGTGGAAATCAAGTCAAAATTGCCATTATGTATTTTTAAGTGCAGGAGGCTTCCAACTGTCTGGTGTTTAAAAGCAGAGTCTACATAATTGGGGTAAAGATTTAGTGTGGTGTAACTTACATTGCTATCTGGTTTAAAAACTACATATATGCTATTCATAACATTACAATTTGAAATTTAAATGTCAGATTTTTCTTAACTTATGTATTCACTACTTTAATTGGATCCAATTTGTCTTATATTTTTGTGTTATCTTGTACAGTTTTCTTACTTTTCAACTATAAATCTGTATATAACTGTAAATAGAAGGATCAAGCCTTCCTTTAAGACCACTAGTAACAACTCCTGTGTAAATAAAACTTACAGCAGAGCTGTGCTGTGGCTCTTTTCCCCTTCCTCCCGCCCTTGCCGCTGCTGAAGGCCCTGGAGCCGCCTTTGCCGGGGGCTCGGGGAGCGTTTGGGTGCGGGAGCATTAAAAAATAGCAGATTTATTTCCTTCGGGAGCTCCCCCCGCCGCCAGGGGGCGCAGTGGCCGCGGGCGAGGGGGCCGGCTCGGCGCGGGTACGTCACTTCCGGCGCCGGCACCGCACGCGCTCGAGGCCGCCGCCATGAAGTCGGTAAGGAGGCGGCCGCGGGGCCGGGCTCGGCCGGGGCAGCGGTGAGCGGGCTTCCCCCGGGTGCTGCCGCGGTGTCTGTGGCGGGGGGGGGCGAAGGAGGAAGTGAAGGGCCGTTGCTGGTCGCGCTGAGGAGCGCGGTGGCGGAGTGGGGCAAGCGGCGGCCCCGGCGGTGAGGTGGAGTGGGGTGGGGGGGGGGCAGAGGCCGAGCCGGCCCT